TGAAGAAGGGTCCCGACCCGAAACGTCAGCTTTCCTGCTCCTCTGATGCTGCCTGGCCTGCTGTGTTCCTCCAGCTCCACACTGTATTGTCTTGATAAAACTCCATGCCCAGATTTGCACTGAGTTACTAAATCCAGCATCTGCAAATCTTGGTATCTCATCATGGAGGTATATCAAGAAGTTATTAAATTAAAAAAAAGTTATCATTAACCATAGCAGCCGACCTTTCATGGCTACAGTCATGAGTGATTTGAGGTCAGGAGCACAACCACAAAAAAGAAGCAGTGCTTAACGTGATCTTTTACTTAAGGTTACATCTTTTGCTTTCATTTGGATTTGGGTGCCACTGGCAAGGCAAGTGTTTGTTGCCATGTCTAACAGTACTTGAGATAAGTGGTTTGCTTGGCACTTTAAGGGTCAGCCATATTGATATAGGTGGAATCACATGTAGGCCAAATTGGGTGAGAATGGCTGATATCCTTCCATAAAGGACTCTAGTGAGCCAGATGCATTCATATAACAATCAATGGTAGTTATCATGGTCAAAATTACTTGCACATTAGATTCCAGATTCATTAATTGACTTTCAATTCTAACAGTTGCTGACATCCCCACAGCATTAGCCTGGGTTTCTGGAATACGAGTCCAGTGACACTACCACTACATCACGGTTAGTCCTCTGGTAATCACTGGGAAGAAACATCCTGAATTGGCACATTATGAAGTCAGGTGGAGGCTAATTGTTAAGGACATTTTCTATTACATGGCAATTGACTGTAAAGCCCTGCCACCTGATTTGTAGATAGGGAATGTTATCAAGGTTAAATAAGCCAGCAGAAAATTACCGATTTTCCATTAGCCAAATAAAAAAATGCTGCTTAGAAAATATGACATTTAAAATGCAGTGGACGCATTCTGAATGCAAACTTGTTGTTTGAAGTAGTGTTTTTAAGGAACAAGGGCTGAATTTTCCAAAAGAAAGTTGGGAGAATCTCTTGAGATCAACAGTGAAGTTCCCAATGTCAAAAGAAAACAGCCCTATTGTCTAACCGAGTGCTGAACAGTGAGACAAGGTGCTCTCACTAGTGAGCATCAAGAGGTCTATTTGCATGTTTTAGCATGCATTAACATCTCATTATTACATTATTTCACTTCTTAACTGATATCCAATTTCCCATTTTCCCACGCAATGGATAGAAACTAGGCAGTGACAATTTCTGATGTGAAAATCACATCAGTCTCCTGGTGACTCCAGCTCACCACTTGATCCTCTGATCCTCCAAATGGCAAGATGACTCTTGATATTTGTTTTTTTTTATATTCTGGATCTCTCCACAAGAGGTACAGTAAAAATTGGGAAATCATGCCAAGTTACACCTTAAATAATTCTCTTTGTTCCCCTCAAAGTCCATCAAGATGTGTATCAGGAACATACCTGCATCTCTGTACTTTATATCATCATGTAAACTACCTGTCATGGTTTAACTGTTTTCGAACAGTTTTGCCTTTGTTGATAGTTAATGGAGATTATCATGAGGATAGTCACCTATTGACTGAAACCTGTCTCCTTTTAATACCATATATAAATTAATGTCCTCAGGTATAGTAATTGATTGTAGTCCACCTCTCATTGCAGACACATCAACAGCACAAAGCTCAAAACACCAGATCAGCAAATATTGAAATAGCACTGAATGTAATGGAATGAAATTAAATTGTCTGAGTCGGGTTCACAAAGTTCTTATGGAAAACTCAAGTTGTCATGGTCCTAAGTTTTGCCCAAGTACAACTCAATTTGCAACTAATACAAAGGTGGCATCATTTTCCAGATTAACCAACTTGGCCAGTTCCCTCCATTTTTAAATTTGCTTGGCATGTTTTTAACTTCAAATCTTTCACAACCATTTTAATAATACTCTCTTGAAATCATGGCTATCCTTTAAAAACACTAGCACTTACTTGTCTACAAGATAAGTCGTAGATTCGTGGCTCACAGAAGCTGAGTGGAGTGACCAGTTTCCATTCGGTAGCTCTAGAGTTTGGATTGTGTAGTACCTAACTGGAGACAGTCCGTCACTACCCGGTTCCCAGGACAACAGCACATTGCGTGACTGCACATCTTGCTGTTGTATGACAGGTTTGCTGGGAGGCTGTGGACGAACTGAGATTAGAACAAAAATGTTTAGAGAACAGGCTGATTTTCCGACAATTTGAACACAGAACAGCACAAGAATAGGCCCTTCAGCCCATCATGTCTATGCCTACTATGGTGCAATTCTAAACTAATCCCATCTGCGTGAATATGGTCCGTATTGCTCTATTCCCTACCTGTTCATGTGTTTTCCTAAAGCCTCCTAACATTGCTATTGTATCTGCTTCTATCACCACTCCGGCAGCGCATTCCAGGCACCTACAACTCTCTGTGGAAAAAAAAACTTTCATTGCACATCTCCTTTCAACTTTTTGCATTTCATCTTAAACCTATGCCCCCTAGAATTTGACTTTTTCACCCTGGAAAAAGATTCCAACTATCCACCCTATCCATGCCTCTCATAACTTTATATCCTTCAATCAAGTTGTTCCTCAGCCTCGATCCTCTAGCGAAAGCAATCCAAGTTTGTCCAAACTCATGTTATACTTAGTACACTCCAATCCAGGCAACATCTTGGTAAACCTCTTCTACACCGTCTTCAAAGTCTCCATTTCCTTCCTATAGTGTGACAACAAGAACTACACATAATACTCCTTAGTTAGTAGCCTAACTAAGGCCTCATTCAGCTGCAAAATTTATATTCAATGTCCTGACTGATGAAGGCAAGCATGCTGTACACCTTCTTTACTGCCTTATCCACTTATGTTGTCACTGTCAGGATTTGCACCCTAGAATCCCTCTGAATATCAACATTCCTAAGGGTCCGGCAATGTATTACAAACTTTCTTGTTGCATTTGACCAACCAAGATGCATCACCTCACACTTGTCTGGATTAAACACCATCTGCCATTTCCCCGTCAAATTTCCAACTGGTCTATATCCTGCCAAATCTGTTGACAACTTTGTTCACTGTCCAGAACTCAACCAATTTTTGTGTAGACTGCAAACTTGTTAATCAGACTACCTACATTTTCATCCACAATTATTTACATATTTTAAAAGTAACAGAGCTCCCAGCACTGATCTTTGCGGGACACTACCGGTCACAGACCCCCAGTCAGAAAAACACCTTCCCACAACTATCCTCTGTCTTCAATAGCCAAGCCAGTTTTGTCTTCAACTTGCCACTCACCATGGATCCCATGTGACTTAATCTTCTGGACCAGCCTGCCATGAGGAACTCTCTCACATCCATGTAAACAACATCCACTATCCCACCTTCTTTGTAAGACAAGACCTCCCCCAACATAAAGCCACGTTGACTAACCCTAATGAGTCCATTCTTCTCCAAACGTGAGTAAACCTCTAAGAATCTTCTCCAATAGTTTCTCGACCACTAAGGTTCGGCTCACCAGCCTATAATTTCCTGGATGATCCCTGTTGTCTTTCTTAAACAAAGAAACAACGTTGGCTATTCTCCAGGCTACTGGGATCTCATGTGTGGCTAAAGAGGACGCATCAATCTCTATCAATGCTTCAGCAATCTCCTCCCTTGCCTCCCTTAGTATCCTGGAATAAATCCCATCTGGCCTGGGGACTTATCTGCCTTAATGTTTTTCAACTCACCCAACACCACCTTCTTCTCAATACTGACATGCCCCAGAATATCAACATACCCCTCTCTAACCTTACCACCATCCATCTCCCTCTCCTTGGTGAATACCATTGCAAAGTACGCATTAAGGACCTCACCCACTTCTCCTGGCTTCGTGCATAAATTCCCTCCTTTGTCCTTGAGTGGGCCTATCCTTTCCCTAGCTACCCTCTTGCTCCTAATCTATATACAAAATGCCTTGGTTTTATCCTATTTATCAAGGATATTTCATGGCCCCTTATAACCTTCCTAATTTTTTGCTTAAGTTCTTTACTGCTTCCTTTAAACTCAAGGGCCTTGATTGATTTCAGTTTCTTTAACCTTACGTATGCTTCCTATTTCATTTTGATTAGCCTTTCAATATCTCTTTGTCATCCAGGGTTCCTGAATCTTGCCATCCTTATGTCACCATCCCCTTCATGTCAGTATTGGCTCTTTGAACAAGGTTTATAATTAGCTTCACTCCCTTATTCTTTCCCTATAGCCCTACATTTTTCTCCTTTTCAACTATATATTGAATTCAATTTGATTTTGTAAGGCTCTACTGAATCTGTTTCTACCAAATAAGGCGATAAGATGTAGGAGCAGAAGTAGGCCAATCAGCCCATAAAGTCTGCTCCACCATTCAAAGAGATCATGCCCAGTCTGACAATCCTCAACTCCACTTTCCTGCCTTTTTCCGATACCCCTTGATTCCCTTACTGATTAAAAATGTACACGTTAGTACAAAGTGCTATACCATATCAACTCACTGCATGAAAAATGTTACTTCACAAATTTTACAAAAGTTAATGAAATTAAAACAATGAAATCGTCCCTTGGGGAGGTGATTAAATAGTTATGTGTAATTTTCGGGTACTTGGTTTCAACACATCCACTGTGGCAGTGTTTATGCTGCTAGTGTTTAGTTGATATGTTATTTGATAAGCTGAGGATATAAAAGACTAAATGTGAAATTATGTGAAATGCAGTTTGTGAACACTATACAAGCTTCCAAAATTATACACATACTGCAAGAATTGAAGGCTTTTAACCTTGTTTCATTCTCTCATTTCATGCCGTCTACCTTTCATTCAGGAACTTAAAATCATTTTGGACATGGAGGCTTTTCTGTGTGAAATGCTGACATATTTCGTCTGTCAGTGCCTTGTTTTTTTCAAGTGGAGCAGTTACAAAGCGTATTCATTCCTCTTGAAAGGACAATGCATACCCAAGTTACAGGGAATCAAGAACTGGTCAAGCTCTGTATGGAAGTGCTTTCCCCCACTGTTAACCACTGCAGCCCCCCACCCCCACCACCGCATCCCGCCATGTGAAGCTTGAAAATTCTTTGGCATTCTCTCTGAGAGTGGGTATGAGGGATGACTGTGAGAAGAGGCTAAATGGGCAGCCTGGGAAAGTGGCATCCTGTCTGTTAAAATGGGATCGCAGCTATCATAGCACAATCAGAGCTCCCTGACAGCCTTTAATGCCTAGGAATGTGAGACTCCAAAATTTCAGCTTGCAACTCCATTTAGATCCCAACCCTCCATTTTGGGAAGCCCTGCACTAAGGAAAGAGGCAGTATTGTTTTCTGAGTCAAATTGACTTCAGCTGAAACCTTTAGTCACAGATTCCAGCAATAAACTGATATTTATAGAAGTCACAACATTTCATTGCTTCTATTTCTTTATTTAAGTCCTTCAGTATGTCAACAGTTTGGACACACTTCAAGGACTCAAACCTACTCTAGAAAATATAGTCTTCAGGGGACGAATGAATTCTGGATAAATGTATAGAAAATTGTTCTAATGCAATAGAAATTACATTATTTATACTGTTCCTACTTACCTCTCTTTTCTGTTGTTACCACCAATGCTTCTGCTGCTTCACCCCACCCCTTGCGCGTCTGAGCTGTAATGCGGAAGACATAACTGCATTCTGGTTTTAGCCCAGTTGCTGTATATTGTCGGGTACTTGGGTTCAACACATCCACTGTGGCAGTGTTTGTGTTGCTGGTGTTTAGCCGATATGTTATCTGGTAAGCTGAGGATATAAAACACTAAATGTCAAGTTTTGTGAAATGTAGTTTGTGAACACTACACAATCTTTCAAAATTATACACATGGTTTCTTGCTTTACAAATTGAAGTCTGTAAGAAAATTGAGGGATTTTTCTCTCTCTGGAGTCCAAAATTTGGCAAGAACAGTTGTCTTATGTTTTACTGTAAAACAGATACTGCTGTTCCTTATATACATTTCTGGACATTCAATTCCATTGAATATCAGATGGGGCACACAACAGATATTCAACTGCTACCATAAATTTTGTTTCCCAATCCAGTTTAAATTTCTCTTTGAGGAGTCATGTTTTCTGCATTTTTTGGTATTTGTTGACTTAAAATGCGCATCATGTATCTTGTTGGAAATAAATCTAGCAATAGCCACACTAATTTTCTTGGAATAGCTGATAATTCTGGAAATGTCCCTGAAAATGTGCCAACACACTCAGTGAGGCTGAGAGACATTCAGCATTTGAAAGCTATTGATACACATACATAAGTATGTCTTCAATTTGAGTTAACATGGTATAATTTTCTCTATTTTTAATATTATTTCACAGCTGGGTGGGGGAGTTCAAAACTAGGGCGCATTGATTAAGATGACGAGAAAGATTTAAAAAGGACCTGAGGGGCAACATTTTCACACAGAGGGTGGGTCGTATGTGGAACAAGCTGCCAGAGGAAGTGGTAGATGAAGGTACAGTTACAAATTTAAAAGACATTTGGACAGGTACATGAATAAGAAAGGTTTAGAAGGATATGGGTCAAACGCGAGCAAGTGGGACTAGATTCGTTTGGGTCATGTGGTCAGTAAGGTTGAATCGGATTGAAGGGTGTGTTTCCATGCTATATGACTCTATGGCTATATAACCGCCAGGATAGATTACACTTTGTTTATAGTACACATTGCCTATTAATCTCTTTATAGGAGAACAACTTCAAACATTTTCAGGCATTTCTTCAAAACCTTACAAAACACATCTCAGCTTCATATCACATCTTGTGACATATTCACATCTTGTGACATATTGCCGCTCTTCATTCACAAAAAAACTGATTTAAAACAAAAGTTTTGTTATCATGTTACTTTGCGTGGCTCGAGGTTATGATATTTACCGCTTTTCCAGAACTGTGTTGAATACTTCAGGACACCCAAGGATTTGTGAAAATGGCTTTGCCATTAGCTTCATTATTTTATCCTAACAAAACATGGTGGAGTGTAGAAATTTGAAATTAAACTTGTCAAAAATACTCAGCCAGCAAGCTGAATCTGTGGAGAGAGAAACAGAGTTAATATTTCAGGATAATAACCTTTTGTCAACCTGAATCATTAACTCTCTCCAAAAAATACCGCCTAACGTGCTGAGTATTTTCAACAAGTTTTTGTTTCCTTGCTCTACTCTACTTCTATAACAAGAAAGGTTAGTGTAATTATTTTCTGTCATGTTTATTCCAGGCTTTAGAAGTTCCCAAGTCACCCACCGAGAATGATCCCATTGGGTTCTACAGGAGGCTGCCAGACTAGACGCACAGATGTTGTTCGAACTTCTGGAAACAGGATTCCTACAGGAGGTCCAGGCACTAAAAAAACAGAGAATGAAAACAAGCTACTTATGCAGCTTAATCTTTACACACGACAGCTGAAATAATTCTGGAGCTTTCATTGCTGAACTGTGTACCATTTGTACATGATGCTGTCCTTGAATTTCGTTTTTGAGTTACCGCCTTGCTGAGCTTTTTTCTCTTGCTATTTTCCTCCCTTTCCTACCTTCCTCTCTTGAACACACTGACTCTTGGCCAAATGAGGTTCCATTTGGCACCAGACATGTCTGATACTTTAATCATTATCATACCAACATGTGTTAATTGACAATAAGGGATGAAGGTGAATGGTATCACTAGTCCAGTCCAATTCTGTAACATGAGGAGGATTCAGTGGAACATGATTAAGAATTGAAACCCTAACTAAAAACCCCATGTTGTCCAGAGGCAGTGAGACACACTCTAGTCCCTCACTGCTGTCCAGATTAAAATCACTGAACCTGGAACAGATCATGATTAAATCTGGACGTTCTGTGCTTGTAGTTCAGCTACCCACTGGATGTATTAGCTGCCTTATTTGTGTACCAAATGCAAATATAAGACAGTAAAGATAAGTCTGGCCAATGAAATACAATGAAAACTTCAGCTTAAACCTTCATTTCAGATGTTAAAATCAACATCACTGTCAACATCAACATCATCAACCCATTTCAGGCATGGTTCTCAACACGCAAATTAAGGGAAAATGTGGCTTTGTATAACTTTAACATATCCTGAAGTGAAATTAACATTTCTTTGAACAACATGTTTAACTGAAAGGTCACAATTTAATGTAATGCGAAAGAAGCACTTAGGACAGCAGTGAAAGGATTAAACTACTTTCAAGTAACTTTTTTTTATATCTCTCCACTTTAAAAGCAAATTGGTTTTGGATCCAGATATCATTGTGACATTATCTTTAATTGCTAGATCTCCAGTTAGTTGTAATTTAATGTGATTATAATTGCTCCACCAAGTGCTTTTATTGGCTTTAAAATCAATGTTGGCTCTTTTTAGATGACTTTCACTGGAAGTTTCTCAACAGAGAGCACATGAGCAATTGCTTTCAATTCATCAAATTTGTAAAGTAACATTAATATGAATCTTGTTGACAACTTATGCTGTCATCATTTGTGCACCAGCTGTGAATACTAGTGGCATAGTAAACAAAAGTTTCATATTGCCTCATGACTTGGATTGTAAATTTATACTTTAAGGTCTAGGAGGTAAGGTAGCAGCAATCAAAACCTTGGAATACTTGTTTCTTACTCATCCAATAAAATAAAAAAAAAATAAAATGAGGCTTGAGACCACTGATTAATTCTGATTTATCACTGAAAAAAATACCAACCATCATCCAGAGTTCTCTCAAGAATGGGTGGGAAGCTTGATATTCCATCTCCAATTCTGGTAAAAGCAAGGACTTGGATCTCATACAACACATACTTCCCTAACTTAGTAAGTTGTACAGTGTGCGTGGTGTTGCTTTCAATGGTCTGGATCTGCATAGGAGTATCCAAGTCTTTTTCCTTGTACAAGACCTTCAATCAAACAGAGAAAAAAAGCAGAAGGAATGTTGAAAGAATTGGTCAGCAACACTGTAAGCAGAAGAAATACTTAATGGTTGACCATTGATAAAGTAAGTAATAGCGCCCTTGAGGATTTTAGTGCATTTCAGGATGAGATCATTTTGGAAAAGAAAAATCAAACAATATCACGGTATTGTACCTAATAACAGCAGAATGCATTTTACAGTCGGTAGCAGGAGGACACATGCAGACTTGACTTAACCCTACTTAACTGCGGTCCCTAATTTTGAACTATGGTTGTAGTGTCTCCAAATATACTTGCCAACCACTCCAGTAAACTGGTGCCAATAAAGACTGGATTGAAATAAAACAAAGAATGGTGGATACTGGAGATATAAAGCAAAAACAGGAAGTGTTGTAGAAACTCCACAGGTCCAGCAACATCCATGAAGAGAAAATCTGAGGCTACGCCCTGAGTCCAGAGATCCTTTGTCGGAACTGAATGCATTCACCAGCATGTTCTGTTTTTGTTTAAGAACGGGATTTGGTCTGGTTATGGAGTTCACTGAAGACCACTAGAGGTAGAAACTAGTTATTGGTTGTGCACATTTTCTGAATGGGCAATAATGTTCAATTTCGCAAGGTTATGCCCACTCGCCTGAGGATGCTTGAGAAACATCTAATGTTACATTGGTCTCAGAGGATTTTCAGGCATCATGGATGACAGATGTCTCTTCCACTGTAGAACCTAACTCCTAATTGAAGACATTTCTGAGGCTGAATTGCTCGGAGTGAAGCAAGTTTTGGGCTTGCCTTGCTCAGGTATGCTAGAAATGGCCTAGCAAGAGGGTGACACCGAATAAGTTTTAAAACTTGATGTGGTGCCAGGAGCATGAATACATCTATTGGCTCCATAGCACTCCTGAGGGCTGCTGGAAGCTGGTGATTTTCTTGTTTTTCTTTCCATTTTATGAAACTTCGCCCAATTTTCTGGCTGACAAGTCAGGCACCCAAAAGTGGATATAGCAGACTATTGAGCTGGTCTGGAGGTATAACAGGCCCTGGCAGCTTGCTAAAATTAAGGCCCAACTACAACTGAACCTTGTAATACCCTGTGTGTGGTCCATCAGTTATCAGTTTGAAAATACACCATTACCACAGTTTCACTGATTGAAGTCTACACAGATAAAAAGAGTTCGTTACACTAGTCCACAACCTTCATTGAGTACAAGATCTAATTTTTGGAAGATATATAATATTTATGTTCCTCAGTGAAGAAAAGGTGTTTCAATTCTATCTAATTTGGAAAACAATTTAAATTCAGAGTTGAAAATAAGACAGCATTACATTGCCATGAGTCACCTAGTCTCCAACATTTTTTGAGATCTCTGTCTCTTTGACTCCTTTAATTCAACCTGGACATAACTGAAATGTCACTGAATTAAATATACAATTTTTTTTGTTGTTTCAAAGGAGAATCAATATGCTTCACTTTTTTGCACTTTTATCAAGCAATTAACTTGCCTTATAACCAAGGATGAGCCCATTGCGATCTTGTTGTGGAACCTCATTCCATCTGACGAGGATACTATTTGAATTAAGAGCAAGAGACGAAACATTTGTTGGTCCAGATGAAGGAACTAAGAAAACAAAGAAAGCCAGTTTTACACATGAAACAAATATCCTTACACAGTTACAATGACAACTTAGGTTATTGGAATTGACAACTCAACAATATTAACAGAAGTACAAATGACAATGACAGGATCTTCTAAAAGCAGTACCATCTGGTAATATCATGTCAACGTAATAGCCATAGTTATTTGAGTCAAGTACACGAAAGACATAAAGAACGAGAATAGTTTCTCTCATCTTCACCTCATATTTCAAAAGACATTCTGAATCTCTCCCACCCTTTTTGCCATTGTTACCTCTTCAAAAGTTCTTCATTCTTGGCATAAAAAATTCTTATGTCAATCTCTCTAAATTAATCTAATATTCTTTTTTCCACTGACCTCAAAATAATATTCTGGATTCACCTTAACCCTAATGCCTCATAAACATCAGCCAAAATCAGCCCTTAACCACTTTCTACACCTTCAAATTTTATGTTAAGATTGTTTACAAGCTACTGAAGAATATATTAGATACGTGTATACTATGGTCAACTATTGCATGGTCTCAAGTTAGGCATATCTTTCACTACAGCAAACTTCTCCAGCTATCAATAGGTTTCATTAGAAAACTATTTGATCAGAAGTTTAAGTGTTTAAAAAGTTGAAATCTAGTTTGGAGAGGATGCATTCTGCTGCCTTCACTTTCGTAGATGATTTCACATGATCTGCCGGGCAAGGAGGATTCAAGATGCCTAAGTTGTTTGGCAGCGAATTGTTGTCACGGGGTGGTTTTTTGTTTTGCCTTTTGTTGCAGGCCACAGAGAGTTACTAATTGTATCATGATATTACCAATGGACAAGGCAAGGAGGTAGGTCCCAAACTACCTCAGCCAGTGTGGGCGTTGAACTCAGGCCGTAGACATTGTATTGGACCACACACTTAGCTGACGGAGTTAACTGGCCCCTTACTTGAATGTTAACTCTCTCCTGCACTGAAGATGCTGAATGTTTCCAACTTATTCTGCTATGTTTTGGATTTCCTGACCTTGATGTCTTTTTGCTTCTGTTTTATTTGAGAAAGGTGAGCTGATTCATGAAGAGTGTAAATTGGTGACTACAGTCTGTGCCTTTATTGCAGGTTTTGCACAATTTACACTTAAAAATGTTAAACAATCTGTGCATGCTATGTAAAATTTAACCTACAAAAAGAGCAAAAACAAAAAATACAAATTGACACTATCTTTTAGCTCAACGCACTTTATTACCTTTAGGGTAAGTTAAGGCAATTTTTATGTACGTTTCATAATATTGTATAGATATATAGTAACAGCGAAAATATTTCATGAGTAAACAAGTTCTCTTAATAACAGTAAAATGTTGTTTATAATCCAGACAGCTCAGAAATAGCAAGAGTTTTAATTCTTGCAGTAGTAATATCATGATGTCAACTGTAATCTATCAAAGGGTATTTTACGTTGCAGTATTCATAAAAAATACATGACATATCAGTTCTCATAGACATTCAGCACATCAGGAATACCATTTGTTTTTATTTCTAGTTCAAATAAAAAGGCTTCACTATTGTCCTCAACTTCCTTTACATTTGTAATGACCTTCATAAGAAAGATAGTATTCAATATTATCTTCAATATTCAATAATATCAATTACAAATTGTACTGGGTGAAAACAGACATGTATTTGCCTCGTCAGAACAAAGGCAAAGTAATAATTTGAATCTGCTATATTGCCAGGAGAAAAATCATATAAAGGCTGTTAGATGCCAAATGATCAATACCATGGCTTTGTTTACTGTTTGAAAATGGTCCCACTACTGATATCAAATACACCAAAACTGCTGTTAAATCAAATTTTACTAAAGCAAAATAACAGGAGAAAGCTAAAGAGAGTAAATCAACTGGGAAGGTAGAAAGATAGGGAAAGCAAAAATCGTGAAGTATATTTGTAATGACAAATAAATGCCTTGTAATTCTCCCTGCTTATCAATTTTTCATTACGCCGTATACTAAACAAGGTTTTCAAGTTATCACATCAGTCACATGTATTTACAAAAACGTATTGTAAAAGTTTAGTCAAAACAATTTGCAATTTTACTAATAATTTTAACTTCAAATTCAAATCAGAATGGTGATTAACTGTTGCACAGCTGGGATCAAAAGATTTTTGTGGGGGTGCCTCATTAAAAACTAGTCAACTTGGCCCTCATTGCTGGCTGGATTGTCCACTGACTTGCCCACTGTAACCAGTTCCAGTTCTGCCTCTGGTTCTTGCCACATAAAGTTGAGAATCCCCGGAAACTGAGGGCTCAACAAAGGGACTGTGCCAAGAATAAAAGAACTCTGACTTTTCTAGTCCAAGGTCTGAAATAAGAACAGAAATTGCTGGAGAAACTGAACAAGTCTGACAGCATCTGTGGAGAAAGTAAAGTCAACGTTTTGGGTTCAGCGACCCTTCAATCAGAACTGAAGCTGAATCATTGACTCTACTTTCTTTCCCCAGATGCTGTCAGATGTGCTGAGTTTCTCTTGTGATTTCAGTTTTCATTTCAGACTTTCAGCAACTGTAGTTCTTGGTGTCATTCTAGTCCTAAGTCTGATCTGGGTCCTGCTTGGATCTGCAGGCTGAAGGTTGGTGAAACAGGCTTCCTGGAGCAAAAAAAGATAGTCCTCCAAAACTACATTGATTGTAGGCAAATGATTGTTTTGTGGAGGGGGTGAGAATCAATATCTTTCTTGACTGGAGAAGAAGGCAATCAAAAGCAGTGCAAAAGATTGTGAGCAAAATCTGTGTCCATTCTCAGAGTAGATTCATTCCAGATTGAAGCTTCAAGAATTGCACTGTCGACAGAGAAGTGTCAAACCACATGGCTTGTTTGGATCTGGTTCCAGGCAAAGTTCGATTTTTTTTAATGTATTTGGTTTATAAATTTATGCTTGCCAATATTAGTGAACCTGCCTAAGTTGTAAATCCACACTGGTAATGCAGTTTCTATTTACTCTGCTATACTTGGAAATAGTGAATCATTCTTCATAGAAGAGTCAATATTTAAAACTGTGTACTGGTCATGACTTCGTTCAGGTGTATGTAATAATATTCTATGCAAGAATCATCAAGCTCCCGTGGCCACCAGACTGGAATCAAGTAGTTTTTACAATTCTGATGAATGTTTTTTTCAAGGAGGTTAGACTCCCTTTGGTTAAAGTTTACTATTTGCAATCAAGTAATTTCGGTTTTGAGGAAAATCTTGCAATCTAGTTTCCCTGCATCTGAGCGAGAAGTTGTGGGTTCAATTCCCACTCCAGGACTTGATGGACACAGAAGGCACATTCATGATGTGGCCTAAATGATTAATTATCATCCTGCAAAGTATTCCAATATGATTGTAATAGATAGAAGAGTGGAAGAAACCCCTGGTCAGCCAAAACCAGGGAGCCGCTTCAGCACAAACTCCTCCCAGTGTTAGGAGATTCCACTTGCAGGTTCTTGCCATGGCCTGTACTCCCACTTCGGGGCACTGTCAGAAAATGAATTTCAGTTTTGTCTACCATCCAAAATAACTGACTGAATTTGATTAACACTGAGGTTCACTATTGTCCAGATTGCTCGCTGTCATTAAAACTGGCTTGCAAACAAAATGAAACGTAGTCACTGGTGCATTCTGTTTTATAAGCATTCGCCCAATAGATTAAATCAGAGGAAAGTCTGCTCACATTTGGCATTATTTGATTCTTCTGAATGTTCAACAGCTATGAATAAACCTCAAGTTAGTACTGCAAATCCATTGCTAGTGGACTGCAGCTACATTTCCTTGAACGTTTCCCACCTCATTCCATGGTTTCTAGCCATGCATTCTGTCATGTGATACCTAATTTAAAAGTATTGAAAATAATTTGAAATATTATCCAAATTGATGTCAAGACTTTACATGTTTTTTGGTCTCATCATTTTATTAGTTTCCTGTTTGTGATCATGAAATGTGAGAAATATTGTCATGTGGTAACATAATGAAGCTTTATGAACTGTGATCAGACTTATTCCCTCTACAATTAGAATCTGGTTCTCTGCACAGTAGATTCCTTCCAGAATCTTGCTCAAATGGTTTTAATTTGTGAACCTGGATAGGCTCTTGCACTGAGTTTCTGACCATGGAAGATAAAGCAATCTTCAGCCAATGAAACACACATGCACTGCTAGTAAGAGTTACTGTATACCTTTCAGGAGAGGTCATCAATGTCAATATTTCCTTTATCAATGCAGAAACAGTAGCATCTTTATTGTAGTTCATAAACCAGCAAACTCAGTTCAGAGCAATGATCAAAGACAAGATGTCCACTTGGATCAAAAGTAGGTATGTTACTTGAGAGTACTTCCAGGAATATATTTAATACTTTCATGGTATTTGAACATTACTCACAAGGTCAGCATTTGATGCCCTTTACTGAATCACCAATTTGATCAGTTTGTGATCAGCTATTTTGATATAACTACTAGTTCCTTTAATACGATCTTGACATGACCAAAAGGACTGAACAATGTATTAGCTGTATTAGCTGCCCAACAAATAACTGCACTAGCTAATTGAAGACAGCTAAATTTTATATGAGACATTTATGCTACAATTCAATAATGCCTGCACCCTGGGCCTAGATGTAATTCTACATTAAATAACTCTGCATTATAAGTTTTCACAATGTCCTTTCTTACAATATGCAATCACAGCTGATGGTTGCAAGCTTAGAAGATTAGCAATCAGGAAATTAAATTTACAATGAATTCGGCAACAGGATAATGATAATCCTATATATAGACATTAATCAAATGGCTGTAGGATAGGATCAGTTTATAATTATGTTTGCACCACTCTCTTTGATCTTTCATACATTTGATAAAAAACATACGTCTCTACACGATTAACAGGATCAAATAATCACCGGACTGATGTAGATTCCTGAAAGTACAATAAAATTATTCCAGGATTTAACCACACTGATCTTATGCCAAATTGT